AAAGCCTGCCATGGCATCTGCTGACAAGCCCCATGTGCTACAGCCCAGGGAACTGAAAATCCACGTGGAGCTTTGGTCGTCAGTCTAGTGGCATGTTAGCACTATGCATTCTAAATGTAGTCTTTGATCTCACCTCTTAAATACCAGAAGTTGACATGCAACTGTAATTTTGCAAGCTTTTTAGCTCATAAAGCAAGAACCAACAGATTGTTTAAGAATCCAGTTCCTGTGCAGTTAAGCTTCAAATGCTACAGAGAAAAAATAGGCGAGAGGAAAAGATAAGTAGAGTTATGTAGTGTTTGGCGTGGTGTGGAATGATGTCACAATGACTTAGACTGGGTTTCCCAGGGCAGCAGAAATTGGCCTTGCTGTTCATCTGGTGCAGCAGTTGGCCAAATGTTATACTTGGTGGCACAAATGGTGGCACTTGATTACTAGCTGAAAGCTTGAAAGTTTGAGCCCACCAAGAGGCAGGCTTGGCAATCTGCTTCCAAAAGGTCAGAGCTTTGAAAACCCTGTGGAGCATTTCTACTTCTGGTGAATTAGAGTCGCTGTGAATCGAAATCAACTCCAAACCAAACCAGTTGTCACATGATTCTTGATGTCCTCATGTGTGAAGGGTAGAACTGTGCTCCACAGGGCTTCCAAGGCCATGACCTTTTGGAAGCAGAACTTAAAGCTCTTGTCTCCCAAGGTGCCTCCGGCTGGGTTCTTGTTGCCAACCTTTTCTGTGTGTGCTCCAGCACTGAACCAAAGCACAGTCTCACCCGTTTGTTTCTTCCTGCCTCTGGCTACTTTCCTGCCACGTGGCCCAATGGAGTCGTTGTGACAGAGACCACCGTATGACTCAGGTTTTCCAAAAGAACAGAAGTCACTACAGAGCTGTTGAAAATGAATTTCAGACTTTAATCAAGTGATTTTTTTTTTTTTTTTTGCCTGCTTTGGAAATATTATTAGTTTGAATCTGTTTGAATTTCACTTATTATCTAATAAGAAACTTGCATCATCTTAAGGGAATTTGTTAGTTTTTGACATTTTGTGCTTTTTTTGTTGTTCTTTTTTGATCCAAGGCATGTCTTCGATATGCTCAGTTCTTTCTAGAGTGTATTGTAGATGGTTCTGATGCATTCTCATAAAGAAATTGTGAGACATGCTTGGCAGCTAATTGTAATGCTGTGGTTGGGGGCTGGGCGGTGGTACACTGAGTGCTGCCTTGTGGAGTCTCAGTGACGTGCCTGTGTGTAGACAGATAGGTGATACTTTACTCTGCTTTTGAAGACAACAGTATGCACAGGTTTTGGCGCAGCAGCAGAAAGCAGCCCTGTCTTCCCAGCAGCAACAGCAGCTGGCACTTCTCCTGCAGCAGTTCCAGACTCTGAAGATGAGGTTGGTGATGGTTCCATTATGTGTCTCACTGTATGTGCAAGAGATTCTGGGATGGTGTGTGCATTCTGGTATCCTTGTGGTGGTGGTTGAGTGCCATCGAGTTAGCTCCGAGTCATAGTGTCCCTGTATAGGCTTTCCGAGACTATGAATTATTGTGGGAGCAAAAAGCTTCATCTTTCTCCCAGAGCCAACTGGTGGATTTGAGCTGCTGACCTTGTGGTTAGCAGTTCAACACATAACCCCGCTACTCCATCTGAGCTCCTTATTTAATACCCACGCCTAATGTGCACCTGCATATGGTTGGTGTGTAAAAGCAGGATAAAGATAATAGGTAAGCTAAAGGTATCAAGTTTTTTTTACTCATCGAGGATAGCTTTGGAATACTAACTAAAGTTACTGTAATGAGGACCCTTGACAGCAGTGGAGTTTTATGGGAAGAGCAACAAAAGAACTGTTGTCTTGGAATTTAATCTCACTTTTACGTGTGATGGCTCAAGAAAGATAATGACCATATCAGACCGCGTGAACGCTTTTCTGGAACCGAAAAGTCATGAAGGCATTGTCTAAGGAAAAGGAAATTTCTGCTTTTTCAGATTTTCATTCAGTTGAGTTTATGTTGTAGACCTTGAAAAGGTGTTGGTCCCTACCCTCATAAACCTTCTCGTTCAGTTGAATCACATTTCTCTCTTGAACTTTCACCTATCCTGTGAGGTAAGCCAGTTAGTGTAGGCCATGGTACAGCTGGGCAAACTGGAGCTCTCAGAGGTCAGCTGATAACTTCACAGGCAGAACTCAAATGCAGATGTTTTGATTTTACATTCATAGGTGTTTTCATTATAACATGATGTCCTTGTGGCTTTTGTTGAAATAGGATTTTTCTTTTTTGAATAGTAGGTGTGTCCAATCTTTAGAAATCAGTTGCCTTCTAAGCCCTGTGATGATTGTGTCTGTGTCTTTTTGCTTTGGTAGTGCTTGCTTGTTAGGTGCCATCCAAGTCACTTCTAACTCATAGTGACGTTATATAGGGTTCCCAAGGAGCAACTGGTTGGTTTGAACTGCCAAACTTGTGGTTAGCAGTCCCGTGCTTATCCTATAGCGCCACCCAGGACCAGTGCTAGGCATTAGTTAAAACAGGTTTTTGGCCGCATAACCTGGAAAAATTAGAAATAACCTAGAAATTCCTCTTTATCATTCTTAATTTTGCAAATGCCAAGACTGAGTTGATTTTTTATTTTCCTTTTGCAGATTATCTGATCAGAATGTCATCCCCTCAGTGGGTCGGTCTGTGTCGGTACCAGACACCAGCTCCATCTGGGAGCTCCAGCCAACAGGCTCACAATCAACAGGTACAACCAGAAAAAGGCTCTGCTGTAGTGGTGAGGTGTTGGATTCTAATAGTGTTGTCAAAATGTGTTCCATACTTTTGGTCCATTTGGTATTGTGTATTACAAAAAGCTGCGTTTTTAAAAACAGACTACAGGGAAAGACTGAAGGCGCTGTGAAACTGCACTGTTTGGGTTTGCTCGGCATCATTTCCTAGATACAGTTTCTTGTATTTGCGTCAATTTTATGTAATTCCAGCCAGTGTGGAAGTACCTTTTAAAATTCTATTTGAACATAGGGAATGGACGCAAATGCTGTTGAGTGATGATGCATGGGAGGGGATTGTAATCATTGAAATTCAATGAAATACGATAGGATGAATGTAAAGCAGATGTTCTCCCATGTAAACTATCACTCAATTCGCAATAAAAACTTGGAAAAAAAAAAAAAAAAAAGCCTATTTGAGCTTTTCAGCTAGAGTGAAAATGGGTAAAGCAGATGTACTGGCTTCCATCCTTCTGAGTCTCTGTAAAGGCCCGCAGGTTTTAGGGAGAGAAAAGCCAGCTTTGAATGAATGAGTACCTTGCCTCAGCATCAAATTAGAAAAGTTGGGGCTAACTTTTTTTTTTTAAAGTTTTGATACTGTTGAAGTACTTCCATTAGGGTCTGGTACTTGTAGAGGTGAGTAGTTGGAAACATGAATTGTCCTTATAGGAGCCAATAGTTGATTTTGAAAATCCTCAGGAGCCCTAAGCATGGATGGATGTTCTTAGACCCATTCACCATTCAGGCTGCAGTCCTCTTGGCAACACTGACCTGGACATTCTGCCTGAAGGCTCAGTTACCTTTCCTGTCATGTTTCCCTGCTGTGTTCACCTGATATCTCCCTGGCAACCATCGAGAACTAAGTTAGTCAAATGGTCTCCAGGGTTTGGTAACTATGTAACTGGTGTTTGCATGGAACCAAAGACTTTTACAAATATTTCATTGGTTTTGTGCAGACAGTCCATAAATAGACTATTATCGTGGCGACACAAGAAATAGAGAAGGCTGAAAAGAAGGGGTGCCAGCAAACCCAACTGACATGGGGATGTAGGCCTAGAAGCCCTCATTTGTTGGTGTCCACCTGTGACCTTCTGCTGCTGGACGTGTTTCACGTGGGGAACTTGCCTCGGCTTCAGCAGCTCTTTTCTTGACCCTCGTCTCCACTGGCGTGCAGTAGTAGGCTGGCTACTGGACAAACCATGGGCTTTGCAATACATCGCACTTGGGTGTGAATCCTGATGTGGCCACATGCTTGCTGGGTGCTTTTGGTAATGCTTCTTCACCTGTAAAATGGACTCTCTGAGGGTCACATTTCGTGCCCCATCAATGCCTGCTCTGTTCTTTCCTTCTGTGTGTGTTGAAGGGTAGTGACGATAACTAGAGCCCACGGGCAGTTTGGTCCATTTAGAAGCAGGACAGCATTTCTGATGGAGTTCTTTCGGAGACAGGCAGTTGCTTCTGGGTCCATTTATGGAAGCTCTGACATCCCTTCCTTTTCCCCTTGTTTTACAGTTTGGGAAGGCAGCAGTGTGTGGGAGCTTCCCCTGGACACCACAACGTCAGCTCCTGCCTTGGAACAGCTTCAGCAGATGGAGAAAGCCAAAGCTGCCAAGGTTTGACCCTCCCTCACTATAGCCCTGTGTGCCTGGTGGCTGCATGCGTAGGAGATCTGTCAGCTGACCTCTTCCTCACTAGCTAGCTCTGCTTTTCTCCGTTTAGTCTACTTCTACGTAGCTACTTTTAGCACACTCGTGTTTAATCCTTAGTGCACTCTCTTATCCCCTAAAAGACTCTCAGACCTCAAGACAGAATTAAAATGAGGTGATTGATTGATTGGTTAAATATTGATAGTCATGGCCATGCCTACAATTTGAAGTTATATTACTTTTGGTGTACACGTGTGTTAGAAATATGCAGACTGTAGGAAAACTGCCTCTACATGCCGTACGAGGCTCTTGCTCTGTGGTTTGCTTTTTGCTGCAGGAGGCTGCAATTCCCATAGTGACTCTCTGTGGTGGTATTTGTTTATATTTTTCAGTGTCCCTGACATATAGCTGAAAATCTCCACACTAACATTAGATCCTGTGTTTCCACCCACATTTTCTAGAAGAGCTCAGAATCAGGATTTTCGGTTTTAATACTTGCCAAAGAGCATGTCTGTTTCGATACCTAGCATCATCATCAAAAGATTTCTCCTCATGTCTCCAAGAATGTCTTGTTCCCATTTTATGTTTAATGCACCCCTGTGTCCCCCTAGGTAGTGACTGTCTCTTTAGAGTGTCCAGAATGTGGAACGAGGTCAGGGTCTGGTTCCATAAATGAGTGAGAGGCCATAGTCCAAATGATTCTCAAGTGTCTTCTAGCTCCTCGGTGTTTTGTGTGGTGAAGACATGAATGATGAAAGATGGGGTTCTTCAAGGAGCTTGCTGTCTGCGGCCAGGGTGGGTGAGAAACACCCGGACCCTTTTATAGAGCTGCAGATGAGGAGTCGAGTAATATTCTGAGGAACTGTGACCAAAGTTTCACTTAGGCAGTTGAAGGGTTTGGGCATGACAGAGTAGAAACAGATAGAATTCAATTGCAGTTGAAGGAAACAACACCCATAAAGGTCCAGACGTGCACAAGGACATACAGCATTTGGACACTGCCCCAGAAATTCTGTCTGGCTGGAAGCCACAGTGGGTGTGAAGGGCAAACGACTGATGAGGAGGAGGCAACGTAGGCTTTGTTTTCAGGGTGAAGGATGTTGTTGAAAGAAAGCCTAGGAGTGATTTTTTCTTTTCTTTTTTGATGGTTCGAGTGGCATTAAGCAGGGGAAAATAGGCATAACGAAAGCCCAAAAACTGGATAGGAGACTCTGGGCTGTGGCAGAGAAACCAGGAGTGTGAGTGCAGCTGTGGCGGGGGGCCTGAGGCTAGGTGCTGGAACGACCAGTATTTAGGGACTGGACAGTGATTGGTCTCCACACTTGCAAGAGTTCTGTGGTTTGTACAACATTGCTGTTGGAACATTGTTGTTGTTGTTGTTAAGTGTTGGAACATTGTAGCCACACACTATTGCATGTTCAGTCAGCTATACTTTTTGTAGGAAAATGTCAAGAACGGCCACTCCAGAAAGAATAGTAGTTAACGGTACTTTCGCCCTCCCAGCACATCTAGAGCTGTGGCAATGTGGAGTGAGGAGGCAGACAGTCAAGTGGAGATAAAAGTGTAGAAAGCATGAAGCTGTCCTGATGTAGCTGAGACATATCAGGGGTCTTCCGAAAGTTCATGGAAAACGGAATGAAAAGATAATGGGATTTTTCCACAGAGCCCATATCAGAGCTCATAGAAGTGCCAGCAAGGGGATCCGATCTCAGATCATGTCTGCACTCCCCAGCCTGTCCTGCTGAGCAACGCTAGTGTTCCAGATTCTCAGACGGCTCTCATGTCTTCACAGCTAGAACAGGAGCGCAGAGAGGCAGAAATGAGGGCAAAACGGGAAGAAGAGGAGCGAAAGAGACAAGAAGAACTCCGGAGACAACAGGAGGAGATTCTTCGGAGGCAGCAGGAGGAAGAGAGGAAAAGGCGGGAGGAAGAAGAGCTTGCCCGACGGAAACAGGTACCCATTCTGCCACTGAGGGCTCTGGAAACGGGCTTACACGCCACCCAGGGCTCTGGCTAGGGCTAATCCTGAAGAGCCCTAGTGACCACTCACCTTTAGAAAAGTACACCCACGGGAGCCCGGGGCGTTCTTCAGTTCTAGTAGATCTTTAGAAGTGAGTTCCTTTTTGTAATTCCTGTGGTTTAATAAACCACTTAGATTTCTTGCTGTTTGAAACCCATGAGGGAAGAACCAGTGTACACCATTAAATGTCACCTTTTGAAAGCTAAATCTGCTTAAGGGGGGGTTTATGTTGATTTTTGTCTCAGACCTCAGCCCTTTCTTTACTCTTGTCCATGATAGACCCCTCCTACTCCCTCCTCTAGACTTGTGAACTGGGTTTCAGTTCCGACCCCCAGCAACCACACAGGGCAGAGCAGGCATGCCCCCAGGGTTTGTGAGGCTGTTAAGTCCCTATAGGAGCAGATTGCCACAGATTTCTCCCATGGAGTGGCTAGTGAGCTCCAGCTTCCAACCAAGTGCTTAATCAGTGCACCATCAGGCTCCCGGACATATGAGGGCCTTCAAGAAGTTTGTAGAAATGGTCCATTATTTTTTTATTCTGTTTTTCCTGTGAACTTGTAGCTGACCCTGCACATGGCTCCCTAAGGGTTTCGTTTCCCGCATCCTCTGTTAGTCCTCAGTGCTCGGGAACTTTTCTTGTCACGTACATGGTGCCATTTCCATGGTCATTGTGCGTCTACAAATCTCCCATCATTATATGGACTGACTGAAATTTCACTTTATAGATAAGTTATAATAATCTAGACAGTTCCCCATCGTTGGTCATGAGGATTGTTCCCAGTTTTCACTATTTTAAGAGTGTTTGAGTAAAGTCTAAGTATTCATATTTATAACCTGTGAGCTTTCACATTTTTCATGGTGTTTGGTTATTGGCATTTCTCTTTGGAAATTTCTCTATTCATATATGTGCCTGACCCACTTTTATATTGGGGTGTTTCATTGACTATAAGTGAAAGAATCTACTCTATATAATAGACCCCAAAGTCGGGCTTTTACCTCACAGTTCCTCTGTCTTGTTGAACTCAAAAAGTACTCTGAAATACATAAAGAGCCCATCCGAGATTCGGTTTCTGAGCCACTACTAGAATGAGCACTGGATTGTTAACAACAAGGTTGGTGGTTCAAATCCCCCAGCTGCTCTTTGGAAACGGTAATGGCGGGTCACTGCAAGTCAGAACCGACTCAGTGGCACTTAACAACATCAGTTCTTTCTTAGAGTCATTAAGTACGTTGGCAGATGATGGGCTGTAGGTGGTATCACAGTAACACCTGCTTCTGTTTTGTTCATTGATTCCTGAGTTGAAAACAGAACCCTTTTCTGTGTAATTCTTGGTACCGTTGGTGGAGCATTTCAGAACGTACTCTGGGAAACTGCTTTACTCGGTACTAACTGTGAGGGAGGGATTTCCTCCTAGCCCTCCAGGTTTGCTTGTTCGCTGTGTTGATTTGTCCGTATTGCAGCACCTGATGGTGGTGTTGTGAAGACCCTGAAAGGAGCTGTGTCCGCATCCAGCCTCTCCCAGGCTTAGTCAGTCAGTGAGGTAGTGAGTACAGGAACCCGCACAGACTTCACAGTGGATGGAGTGCTGTCCAGCCAGGAACACTGTGAAGAAAACATTTCTAACCTTTCGCTATGCCCACTCCCCCAACTCATATTGTTAAGTACTGTCAAGTCGGTTCCGACTCATATCAACTCTGTAATAGGCTTTCCAAGAAGTGGCTGATAGGTTTGAACGTCATCCTTGTAGCTAGCAGTCCAATGCTAACTCTGCAGCGCCACATCAGGACTCTCATAGGTGCTCTAGAGTTGATGTTATACTTCTAGGTGTTTAATGTAAGAGTTTTGATTCTACGTAGTGTATCCCTTTGCGTAGATCCCACAGTTGCACCTCCCTTTTATCTTTAGGAAGAGGCTTTGCGGAGACAGCGAGAGCAAGAAATGGCCTTGAGGCGGCAGCGAGAAGAGGAAGAAAGGCAGCAACAGGAGGAAGCCCTGAGGAGACGGGAGGAGAGGCGGAGAGAAGAGGAGGAAAGGCGGAAGCAGGAGGAGTTGTTACGCAAGCAGGTGAACAGTTTCCCTTTCAAGGATCGATGCCTCTTGGTTGCCCCCCCCCCGCTCTGTTTCTGTGATTCTCTGCTGGTGGCTTTGTCCAGTGAAGCTGCTTTGCAGTCCAGGCAGCCCGTGCCTCCAGTGCCTTTCTGTTTCGTGTTTAAAACATAGATGGCTTTCTTTTTGAACCAGTTTAGCTGTCTAGAAAGATTGAGGAGATAGTACAGCGTTGGTGCATGTTCCCTGCATAGCTTTCCCTGCTACTGATATGTTAGTTTGGGAAGTTTATTAATAATGAGCCAATCTTAATACATTGCAATGAACTGATGTCCATGTGCTATTCATATGCCATTAGTTTTTTAATGAATGCCTTTTTGTTGTTCCAGAATGTCACCCAGGGTATACTGCGTTAGGTTCAGTTGTCATGTTTCTTAGGGCCCTCTTAGTTGTGGCAGTTTCTCAGACTCTGTCTTTTTTATGATACCCATAACAATTTGGAAAAGCCCTGGGGTATTTATTATAGGCTACTGCTCCACTAGGACTTGTGGTGTGGTGCTGTGGATCAGCACTGGACTGCAAACTACAAGGTCGGCTGTTCAAACATACCAGCGGCTTCCCGAAAACCCTGTACACAGTCACTATGAATTGACACTGACGTGACAGAACTTAACAACAGCAGCAGCCCCTCTGCTGGAGTCCTGGTGTGGCACTGCAGGATAATGAGCTGCAACGTCTGTGGTTCAAACCTACCAGTGGCTCTTTGGAAACCCTATACAGGTTCGCTCTGAATCGGAACCGACTTGATGGCATTTAACAACAACCTGTCTACTAGGGTCTGTCTGAGAGTTTTCTCTTATTCGTCTATGACTATAGGTTTTGGGCACACTGACCTTGTGGTTCAAACCAACTTTGAAGTCCAGTGCATTAACCCACAGTGCCACATGAGGACTCTAGCTGATGTGCTGCATACAGCTCTGTAGTGGTCAGCATGGTTAACGTGTTGTATGCAGGTTAGTGTGCTTGGGTCCTGTTGGAGCCCAGAGCCTGGAAAGAAACCCTCTCTGCCTTAGTGAACTCACAGACCACATACTGACAAGGACACCAAGAAAGAAATGCCCCAGTTGGGAAGTTTTCAGCTTCCAAATGGAAAGCCCGAAAAATGGCTTCCAGACTAGATGGCACTGCTGCCTCAAGACCAGTGGGGGTTTACACACACACGCTCTGGTGATTGACGTGGGGAGGTGAGGGACTGGGAATTTGGTTCCCTGTGTAGTTGTCAGTGTGAGCCTCTTCAGTTAAGATTTTTCAACGCACGGTTAGGGGTTTTGGGTATCTCACCCCAAGACCTCATATGTGGCTTTCCTGTTTTGTGGGGTTTAGGAAGAAGTTCTCTTAGCACTCTTTGGCCTAAATTGGATCACATGGCTGCCCAAGCAGAATCTCTGACATCTTTATACCTTGGATGTGGCATGAAGCCCTGTCTGTAGAGAAGCCTGCTGCCGCAGGTGAACTAGGAGCAGCTAGAGAAATAAGGATTGTCTAGGAGTTGGAGTCCTGGTGTGATGCTGTGGGTTAATGCTCCAGACTGCAAAGCCAATTGAACTGCAAGGTTGGCGGTTCAAGCTCACCAGCTGCTCCTCAGAAAGCCTATCCAGGGTCTCTTTGGGTTGGAACTGACTCGATGGCACGTAACAACAACAATAACACAGGCTGGAGTGAAGCTAGGAAAGTTCTTATAGAGTGACAATTTTATGACCTGGCCTGGGAGGCATAGTGAACGATTGCAGAGGCAAGGAGAATGCCCGAGGGCTCCTTGGGATGGTCTGGATTGAGGAAGGTGGTGGAAGGAAAAAGAACCTGGTAAAGGAAGAGGTGCTGGAGGGAGAAGCATTTTGTAAGAATGGTGGCCTTGGTTCTGTAGGGGTTGTGTCCAGGGATGGAAACCAGTGGCGTTGAAAAGTCACCTTGGTTCCCATATTGTCTGAGGCCTTCCTGGTCCTCAGCACTCAGCCCAGCATGCTAATGTGGCCTTACAGAGACCAGGACATTCACCACAAGCTTTTCGGTGACTTCCCTTTAAGGCGAATCCTGTCCTGTATGCACTGGGCTCTTCTCTGCTACTTCACTTTACAAAAGACCTACATTAGTGCCTGATTGGTTAAGCGCAAGAAATCTAAAGTAGATTTTTGCTGTTATGATAAAAGGTACAGAACGAAATTAGTGTTTAGTGTTTGTTTTGCAGGAAGCCCCTTAAAGAGGTAGTGTGCACCCCAGCAGTGAGAGTGGCCACTCCTCCCTCAGGACTGCACTCGGCTGTGTGACTTTTGGTTGAATGTGTTACTGGGTGTGATTTCGAAGGATGTATTTTGGGCCAGGGAAAGCTCAAAACCTTTTCCATATAAACTTAGGGTAATTGCGTCTTCACTTTACGCCATTTCAGCACACGAAAGGCTTCATGGGAGCTCTCTGCTTTCAGCTGGTGAGGGAAACCTGTTCATCTATTTTAAGAGCATTTCTTCATCTTTAGATGTCATCACAAAGTGCGCTTTCTCTGTCACATCCATAGCCTTTGACAAAAGCCTTTAAATATGAGTTGGAGGTTTTTTCCCACTACAGTTAAGTGTTTTTTGTTACTTTTTCTTCCATCGTTTTCCTTCTGGGAAGGAAGAGGAGGCTGCAAAATGGGCCCGGGAAGAGGAGGAAGCCCAGCGCCGGCTGGAGGAGGAGGCGGCCCGCCTGAGGCATGAGGAGGAGGAACGCAAGAGGAAGGAGCTGGAGCTGCAGAGGCACAAGGAGCTGGTACGCCAGCGGCAGCAGCAACAGGAGGCGCTACGCAGGCTGCAGCAGCAACAGCAGCAGCAGCAGCTGGCGCAGATGAAGGCAAGTACAGGACCCAGCCTGGCTGAGGCCTGAGAGCTTGCTTTGCTAGCCCAGACAGAAGGAGGGCATTCAAGTGCACCTTGTGGTAGGGAATGAACAAGCAAAACCAAGAAAATGTCCCCAGGCAATAGAAAGGCTTTCTGAAAAAAAACCACTTACACTTAGAGTCTTTAGGGAGGGAAATAGAAATGACATTGTGGTGTGTAGGTGGGGATGTTTGAGAGAGGAGACAGCATGGGGTGGAAAGAGGTGGGGTGGGGGGTTAGAAGCACCAGGGTACATCTGAGGGATTGAATAGCAGATCCTGTTGCTGAAGGGCAGTATTGTGGGCAGGTCCAGCTCTGTAGGGACTCTAAAGTCCTCTCACCTTGGAAACAGTACCATCAGTGTCACAGGGCAGATGAGGCACTTTTGAGAGCTGATTGGAAGATGAACTGGAAGACAACAAGCCTGGAAGTCAGCAGAGCAGTTTACGGGGGCTCTGGTGGGGAGACAGTGGTGGTAGGCTTATGTAGGGCTAGCCTTGTGCTCGCATCTCCTCTAGGCCTTACAGCGTAAGGATTATTAGATTCTTCATGTCTCCTCTTTAATAAAATAAGTGAAGTCACTTGTTTAGGGTCCAACTGAGTGTTGGTAACAGAGTCAGTTACTAGGACTCACATGTCCTTTTCTACAGAGCCCTGGAAAGGTCGTTAGAAGACCTACTGAAGACTGATGAAGATACGGGAGATGTGAGGGACAAAGACACTGGAAATTGCTAATCCTCTAGCTGGGTCTGGTGGGGGGCCAGTTTTGGCCTATTGTCCTATATAGACTGGAGTTAAGTGACCTGAGATGGTTAGGAGGAATTGGGAAAGACATTTATGAGAAGACATAAGCAGTATTTATTTATTTATTTATTTAATTCATTGAGATGGGATTCGTGTACTGTATTTCACCCAGTTAACATGTGCATACAAGTTTAACATCTTCTTTAGTAAATTTACAGTTGACTTTAGAATATTTTCATCCATTATCTATCCCTTTAGCTCTCTCAAAAGCCCTCAGTCCTAAGTAGCCACTAATCTCCTTTCTGTCTTTATAGGCCTCTGTAGATTTTTATTGTCTGCTGGGCACATTCGTAGTGGTTACCAGTTGGGCTTCAAACCACAAGGTCAGCAGTTCTAAACTGCCAGCCATTCTGCGGGAGAAAGATGTAAAGATTTACAGCCCTGGAAACCCTGTACAGGGTCGCTATGAGTCGGAACTGACTCCACGGCACATAACCACCACCTCCACCACCACCACCACCACCACCACCACCACTGGAGACATTGCTTAGAAATGGATCATGTGATAGTGGTCCTTTATACCTGCCTTCTTTCACTGAGCGTAACATCCCATGTCCATCCGTGTTGTGGTACATGTCAGTACTTCATTCCTTTGTATGGCCAAATAGTGTTCTGTTGTGTGGAGACACTACTTTTTATTTATCCATTCATCAGTTGCTAGACATTTAGGATGTTTACATCTTTTGACAATAAACATTCATGGACAAATGCTTTCATAGTTGTTGCTAGAATCAAATTGTTGGGTCATATGGTAATTTGTGGTTAACCGTATAAGCAGCTGACAGACTAATGTCTGTTGAAAGTGACTGAACCCTTTACTCCCCACCAGCAGTGTGAGTGTGGCAGTGCCTTCATGTTCTTGTCGTGGGATGCTTTGATTGTGGCCATACTAATGGTGTGATTAGAATGTGACACTTGGAAACTTAAGAGAAAGGATCAATAATTGGAAAATATGGCCTTTATGTTAGAAACAATGCTGAGGATCCCATAATAGAATTTTGCAGGACCAGTGATTTTCACTGTAAATACCACTTTTCAACAACATAAATAAAAGGTACATGTGGACTTCACCAGATGAAGTACACAGGAATCAAACTGACTACAGTCTTGGGAAGAGACAGTGGAGAAGCTGAATATCATCAGTAAAAACAAGTTTAGGGACCAAGTGTGATACAGACTAGCAATTGCTCTTCAGCTAAAGCTGAAGACAGTTAAAACAGATCCACCAGAGCCAAAATATGGCCTTGAGTGTATCCTGCCTAAATTTAGAGACCATCTCAAGAATAGACACTAATGACTGAAGACCAGAAGAGTTAAGGGATGACATTAAGAACATCATACAGGAAGAAAGCAAAAGGTCATTAAAAAGACAGTAAAGAAAGAAAAGACCAAAATGGATGTTTGAAGACACTCTGAAACTTAATCTTGAATATAGACTAGCTAAAGCACTGGGAAGAACAGATGAAGTGAAAGAGCCAAACAGAAAATTTCAAAGGACAGTGTGAGAAGACAGTCAAGTATTATGATGAAATTCTTTATAATTAAATTTTATTTTATTATAATAAAAAAACAAAAGAGAAAAACGTGCTGTGCATTTCTCAAGCTGAAAGCACCGGAGAAAACACTCAAGCTTTGAGTTGCAATATTGAAGGATTCTATGGACAAAATACTGAATGATCACCCTAAGATGAAAGAATCACTGCACCAGAAAGAACTGGTCATGCTTGAAACAAGGTAGCCTAGGATCAAGAGGCGATAGTACTGAAGGAAGAAGTCCAAGCTACACTGAAGATAATTGGCAAAACAAAAAACAAAAACAAGGCTTCAGCAATTTTTTAAGTGCCATTGAGTCAGTTCTGACTCAGTGATCCTGTAGTATAAATTGAAGTCTTTCAACAAACTGATGCAATGCCATCTATGCCAGGAAATGTAGAAGATGATAGCTGCCTAGCCAGCTGATTGGAAAAGAGCCATATTTATGCCCATTCCAAAGAAAAGTAACCCAGTGAAATAGAGAAATCATCAAACAATTTCATTAATAGCACATGCAAGTGAAATTTTGCTGGAGATCATTCAAAAAATGGTTGCGGCAATAATACACCACCAGGAGCTGGAGTCCAAAGAGGACACGAAACTAGGGTTTATTACTGCTGCTGTCAGATCTTGGCTGAAAGCAGAGAGTACCAGAAAGAAGTTCACTTGTGCTTTATTGACAATGCAAAGGTGTTTAACTGTGTGGATCATAATAATCTAAGGATAACATTATGAAGAATGGATATTCCAGAACATTTAATGAGGAGCCTGTACACAGACCAAGAGGCAGTCGTTTGAACAAGGCAAGGGGATACTGAATGATTTCAAATCAGGAAAGGTTGCACCTGGGGTGTATCCTTTCATCATACTCATTCAGTCAGCATGCTGTGTAAATACTCTGAGAAACTGAATAATAATAGAAAAGTGGTAATGGGGATTGGAGAAAGGCACATTAACCTGCCATAAGCACAGAAGCTAACAGCAAGGTCAGTAGTTTGATTCTACCAGTCGCTCCTTGGAGAAAGATGAAATTTTCTGCTCCCTTCAAGATTTGCCACCTCAGAAATCCTATACATGATAAGCTATGAGTCAAAACCGACTCCATGGCATACAATCACCACCGTACGCAGATGATACACCTTGCTTGCTGAAAGCAGAGAGAACTTAAAGTAGTTACTGATGAAAATCAAAGACTACAGCCTTCAGTATAGATTGCACCTCAATGTAAAGAAAACAAAAATTCTCACAACTTGGACCAATAGATAACATGATATATGGAGAAAAGATTGAAGTTGTCAAAGACTTCATTTTGCTTGAATTCACCATCACTACTCATAAAGATGAAGATGAAAGAGCACAGCCTTTCTTGGTATGGATTACATCTCAGTGTAAAGAAAACAAAAATCCCCACCACTGGACCAATAACATTCTTATCAATGGAGAAAAGATTGAAGTTGTCAAGGACTTTATTCTTCTTGGATCAACCATCAACACTCAAGGAAGCAGTAGTCGAGATCAGACGACGTATTGTATTAGGCAAATCTGCTGCACAAGACCTTTTTAAAGTGTTGAAGAGCAAAGATGTCAGCTTGAAGACTAAGGTGCGTCTGACCCAAGCCATGGTATTTTCAATAATCTCATATGCATGCAAAAGCTCGACAGTGAATAAAGAAGACCATAGAAGAATTGATGCTTTTGAGTTATAGTGTTGGAGGAGAATACTTAAAGTGCCATGGACTGCCAAAAGAACCAATAGATCCGTTTTGGAAAAAGTGCAGCCAGAGTGCTCCTTGGAGGCCAAGATGGCCAAACTTCATCTCTCATACTGTGGACATATTGTCAGGAGGGGGACCAGTCACTGGAGAAAGGTATCATGTTTGGTAAGGTGGAGGGTCAGAGAAGAAGAGGAAGACCCCTCCAGTGAGATGGATTGGCCAAGTGGCAGCTTGGATGGACTCAAGCATGGTCCAGGATCAGGCAGTATTTGTTCTGCTGTGTATAAGATCGCTATGGGTTGGTACTGACTTGATGGCACCTAACAACAACAACAACAACATGGGCCAAAAGTTGAACCATGCAGGAAGCATCAAAAAGAGTCATGTACAAAGGAATTGGTTGGTATGCAACCATTTCAGGTGATAGCATTTGATGAAGAACCAGTGATACTGGAGGAAGAAGTACAGCACTGCACTAAAGCTACAGACAAGACCCCAGGAACTGATGGCACACTAACTCACATGGCTGAACAAACAGATGCCACACTGGAGGTGCTCACTTATGCCGACCAGCTAGAAGGGATCCATATTTGGGGCCATTCCAAAGAAAGGTGATCTAGCAGAATTCAGAAATTATGGAAAAGTATATGATAACATGCAAATAAAATCTTGCTAAAATGATACAAAAGCGGCTGCATCCTGTACATTGACAGAGAACTTCCAGAGGTTCAAGTCAGTTTCAGAAGAGGACCTGGAATGAGGGATATCGTTGCTGATGTCAGATGGATCTTGGCTGAAAGAGAATACCAAAAAGATGCTTACCTGTGCTTTATTGACTATGGTCATGGTGTTGGGAGGAGAATATTAACAGTACTATAGTCTGCCAAAAGAGCAAACCAATCTGTGTTGGAAGAAGTACAGCCAGAATGCTCCTTGGAAGCCAAGATGGTCAGACTTCATCTCTCATACTTCAGACTTATTACCAGAAGAGGCCTGGAGAAGGATATCATGTTTAGTAAAGTGGAGGGTCAGAGAAAAAGAGGAAGACCCCTCCCAACGAGATGGATTAGCACAGTGACAGCAACAATGGACTCAGGCTTAGCAACAATTGTGAAGTTGGCGTGGGAACGGGCAGTGTTTCTTTGTGTTGTGCATAGGATCACTATGAGTCTGTGCCAAGTCGATGGCACCTAACAATAACAGCAACATCTAATAACACAAAGTTTTCCTAGGGTACTTCGGGGACTTCAAAAATGGTTGTAGCGGTCCCTTGGCAGTCAACTATCAGAAACGTAAGCTGACATTGAGAAGACGATGCAGAATGAGCGGTGGCATTGCTAATGTCAGATGGATTTTGGCTGAAAGTAGAGCATATCACAAATATGTTGACCTGTGTTTGATTGACTGTGCAAAGGCATTCAACTGTGTGAATCTTGACAAATTGTGGAGGAGTTGGGTGTATCTTGGTCTGGCCAAGAGAGCAAGAGTTACCTTAGAAGAACAACTAGGTTTGCGATAACATGTAGTATTTGTACTTTAGTCAGTAATGTGAAGGCCAGGAGAAATAACATTCGTGGTTATAGACAGTTTGGTTCTGATAACGAGAAGAAGCTGTAGTCTAGTTCACAGTGATGTCCTCTGGGCTCCTGGAAATACATAGGTGAGGCCTCAGCTCTCCCTCTAGCTAGTGTGTCCTTATTCTCTCCCTGGAGACACCTCTAAAGTTGTGGGATTAAACATCACCAGGCCACTTTATGGGTTGTTTTATGTACTCCTTTGTCTTTATTGGATGTCTAGTGCTCTGTATGTCAGTGCCAGGTACAGCATATTTGCAATCCTCTTTTGGATTGATAGATCGAATATAAGTGTGTCCGTTGTAGCCTACATTTTTAAAGACCATGTTAGGTTTGGGACTGTGACAGAAATTCAGGCAGCAAAAGTCACATGAGAATCTCATGGGAAAGGAAACTGAAATTGGATGTTGTAGAGGGAGTTGAGGGGATCCGAACGAGCCAACTGTGCATACCGCAGTGTTGCTCCATTGTCTCCTGCCAGCCTGCTCTCATGAACTCTTTTGTCTTCCTTTCTTGTTAGCTTCCTTCGTCTTCCACGTGGGGCCAGCAGTCTAGTACAGCGACTTGTCAGTCACAGGCCACGCTCTCCCTGGCTGAGATCCAAAAGCTCGAAGAAGAACGAGAGCGGCAGCTTCGCGACGAGGTCAGTTTCACAGTAGGAGGTTCTGGTTACTGAAGAAAGTGACTTCTGTCACACTTGGCTGGCTTCTTTGGTCACGCACAAATGCCGACCCCACACGCAGTGGAACAAGGTACTGCCCAGTCCTGTGCCACTGACCACGAGCCCTTGTGATACATACGGCTTCCGTTGGCTGGTTTTTGCAAGTAGATTTAGAGTTTTCTTCCTGGTCTGTCTTAGTCCGGAAACTCCGTGCAAACCTGTCCAGCATGAAACCAGCACACAAACCACCACAGATAGTTATGTTTGCTGGGATTTGACCCCGTGTCTATAGTTATGTTTGCTGGGAATTGACCCCATGTCTAGCAATGAAAGGTGAAACACCACTCCCTCCTCTGACCAACATGGAGGATCTCATAGGAATGACATTAAAATTGGGTAGCACAAATGTTCATGTTTACCGGAACATTTTACCACTGCTCTCAAGAATAACTCACAAGTAAAGTTACATGGGTTGTTTAAAATTATGGGGGAGTTTTTTGCAACATATTGTAAAAGGAGCTCTGGTAGCGTGGTGGTTACAAATCAGGCTGCTAATCTCACGGTCAGCAGTTTGAAACTCCCAGCTGTTCCATGGGAGAAAGATGAGGCTTTCTGCTCCGGTAAAGATTTACAGCCTCGGAAACCCTCTTATAGGGTCGCTATGAGTTGAAACCGACTCCACGGCACATAACAACAACAACAACAATTCTCTTATAAATTGGGTGTTTAAAGTACAGAGTACAATTTTCTCTATATTGGGTTTCCTGACTAACCTAAAAAGATCAATATGACAAAGTACCTCTGCTTTTAAGTTGATAATTGTCTAGTTTACGTTAGTCAGGATGCCAAGGAGTGACAGACAAAAATACAGAGTCAAGATGGCGGTCCTTACCAGGAGACAAGGTTTGGATCAGCATGCCATTAGGTGCCCCATTCATTTGTTCATTCATTCATGCTGTAGATCTTGACTAGGTCTCGACTTGGTTGTATCTGGGGATAGAACTGAGATGAAAGCAGACAGAAGAAGGCTTTCTTAGCGCAGAGGGGAGGCAGTCAGGAGAACTAAGTGAAGCATAAGGCCTGGGAGGAGCTAGTGAGCTTAGGACTTGTGGTGCTAGGAGTGTCCATTGTGACAGAGTGTAATCCGGGAGGACCTCTCTGAAGAAAGTTCTTATGGGACAGAATGGTCGTGAGACACGGAGGTGCTGACTACAGAGAGCATCACCAGTGACCACAGCGTTTCTGCACCTTAGTCCCGCCTTCTTAAAACAGCAGCTCCTTCTGAAAGGCTGGCAGCAAACAGATGCAGAGTAGAGCAGCCCTTATTATAAGCTACAAGTTGGTTCAGTCATTTGGGTCTTTGCTGAACAAAAAGCAGTAACCATGGGGATCAGAGTGGGAACCCATGGGTCTTCTTAGTAACTTCTCTGGTGAGACGTTAACAAACGCCTCTTATTTATTTGCCTTTGATAAATGTTTATTATTATTATTATTATTATTAAATGTTTTTATTTTGGATTGAGTGAAAGTTTACAGGGCACATCATCAGCTTCACATTCAACCATTCATGTAGCTTGTTTCATTACATGGATTATTATCCCCTCCATGTATCATCAGTTAACAGTGTTTCTCTCTATCCTCTTTAGCTTTTTTTTTTTTTTTTGGGGTGGGTTGGTAAATGTTTTTTGAGCCTTTACGTCTCCCCACACTCTTCAGAAACTCTATGTCACTAATACCTGGTTCCCGCCTCAGGAACTTAAGATCATTTCATTGTGTTTGTTACCTGGAGACATCTTTCCCAGAACCCTCTACGCTGTTCAGTCAGGATGTGCTCTGCTTAATGCTCTCCCGGCACTCTGTATTTTTGGAATGCCCCTCATTTGCAGGTCCCTTTAGAACAGCTTGTTGTTATTGTTGGTGTTAGGTGTCGTCAAGTTGGTTCCAACTTACAGCAACCTGGAATAGGATTTCTGAGGAGCGGCTGGTGAGCTTGAACCTCTAACCTTGCAGTTCAAACTGATCTTGCAGTCCAGTGCATTAACTCACAGTGCTACACCAGGACTCCAGAACAGCGGTGGGGAACCTTTATTCTGCCAAAATTTATAACACCATTCAACCAAACAAACTTTTCAACATAAAAATTAGCCTGCTATATTTGGTCAAATATTTGATTAACTCACCTCTAGTGTGACAGCTGGAGTCCTGGTTTGGTACTGTGGGATAAAGCACTGGACTGAACTTCAGCTGCTCCTTGGAAACCCTGTGCAGGGTCGCTATGAGTTGGATGGCACTTAACAACATATGGCCTGTGGGCCGGAAATTCCCTCCCCTTGATATATTTTTATGTAACCCCTCTGGACTGATTCTGAGTCCTGGTGTGGCGCTGTGGGTTAATGCATCAGATTGCAAAGCCATTTGAACTGCAAGGTCGGTGGTTCAAGGTCACCAGCTGCTCCTCAGAAACTCTATACAGGGTCGCTATGGGTTGGAACTGACTCGATGGGACATAACAACAAAATAGTTTTCTTAATGGAACATTCATTTTCTCTTCCTAGCTTCTGCTGAACTTTTAATGTATGTCATCTTAATTTAAATTTGCTGGAGGCCTAATTGTCTCTAAATGTTTCTTTTTCTACATTCTTTTTGTTTCATTGACTACTTCACATCCCTTCTAAGGATGTTACTGACCACTTTCTTGAAAGCTAAGGAGCTATGGTGGTGCTGTAGCATAAGCACTGGACTGCTAACCACCAGGTCGTCAGTTCAAATCAGCCAGCTGCTTTGCGGACGAAAGATGAGGGTTTTCGCGCTCATAAAGATTCGTGGTTTTCGAAGCCCTATGTAGTCTGTGAGTTGGAATCAACTTCATGACAGTGGGTTTGGGTGGGTTCTTAAAAGCTGGTTCCTTTTTGCCCTAGTCTTGTTTGTACTGAATTTTGTCATTGGTTTTGGTCTTGGGCTTTCCTGGAAGAAGTCCACATCAAATGTGTGCTGGTTCTGGGCTGCCTGTTTCTGATGAAGAGTAAAGAAAACACTGCAGAAATGTTTGGAAGGGTTTTTGTGCATAGGGCAAACCCCCTCATTTCTTGGTATTGATATATCTTTGCTCTTGAACTGGTCAGCTTTCCCATGGACTTATGCTCCCATCCCTTGACTGGGAGGTCAGCTTGTGATGGGGAGAAGCAGAAGTGTTCTTGGATTTAGCCTCTTCAGAGAGGAGAAGCTCTGCTCTCTGCCACGGGGACTGGGAGAGCACTCTGGGGTCTTTCTGTTCCTTCTTAATGGTTCTCAGCCAGTCTTGGTGGTAGCCTTGCCAGAACCCTGCTGTGTACAATAATCAGCACCCCAATTCCTGAGCTTTTTGCATGAGTCAGCCTGTTCCTGAGCTTCTTTTTCCTTTAGTTAAGTTCTGTTGAGTCAGTTCCCGACTCACAGCTACTCTGTCTGTAGAAGGATTCCCAGGAGCAGCGGGTAGGTTGGAACCACTGACCTTGCAGCTAGTTCAGCGTTTATCCTACAGCGTCACATCAGAACTCTATTAACTTGTGGCTGCTGCTGTTGTTAGGGGCCGTTGAGTCAGTACGGACTCATAGCGACCCCTGTGCACAACAGAATTAAACACTGTCCCGTCCGGTGCCAACCTCAGAATCATGGCTACGTTAGAGTCCATTGCTACTGCCATTGTACCAGTCCATCCAGTTGTGGGGACAGGGTCTTCCTCTTTTTCCCAAGGAACACTCTGTGCTGCTTCCAGCAAAGATGGGTTTGTTATCTTGGCAGTCCATGGTACTTTTGATATTCTCCTCCAACACTAACGCAAATGCATCAGTTCTACGGTCTTCCTTATTCATTGTCTGATGGTCACATGCTCTGATCAAAATGAAGTCTTGTGACAGTTTCAATCTTTTATCCATTTATATGGATGTTGTTTATTGGTCCAGTGGTGAGGATTTTTGTTTTCTTTACGCTGAGATGCAAATCCATACCGAAGGCTATGGCCTTTGATCTTCATCAGTAAGTGTTTTAACCCCTCTTCGCTTTCAGCAAACGAGGTTGTATCATCTGCATATTGCAGGTTGTTAATGAGTCCTCCTCCAATCCTGATGCCACATTTTTCTTCAAATAATCCAATTTCTGGGATTTTGTAATTGGCATACAGATTGAATAAGTATGGTGAAAGAATACAACCTTGACACATGCCTTTGCTAATTTTAAACCATTGTTCTGTTCAAACAACTGCCTCTGGTCCATGTACAGGTTCCTCATGAGCACAATGTAGTGTTCCAGAATACTCAGTCTCCACAGTGTTGTCCATAGTTTATCATGATCCACATAATCAAAAGCCTTTGTATAGTTAGTAAAGCACAGGTAAACAACTTTCTGATATTCTCTGTTTTCTGACAAGATGCACCTGACATCAGCAATGATATCCCTCGTTTCATGGCCTTGTGTGAATCAGGCTGGAGCCTCTGGCAGGTCTCTTGTCAATGTGTGTTTACAACTGTTTTTAAATTATTTTCAGAAAACCTTTACTTGTAAGAGGTATTAATAATATTGCCCAATGTCTTCCACATTCCATTGAGTCACCTCCCTTTGGACTGGGCACAAATGTGGATCTTTTCTACTCAGTTGTCTTCCAAATTTCTTCTCATAGAAGAGTGAGTGCTTCCAGTGTTCCATCACTTTGTTGAAAGAGTTCAGTTGGTAGCCCTTCAAGTCCTGGAAGCTTGGGCTTTCCCAGGGCCTTCAGTGCGCCTTAGACTACTTCCCTTAGCCTCTTGATCGTATGCTACCTCTTGAAATGGTGGAACATCGACCATTTCTTTTTGGTACAGTGACTCTGTGTGTTCTTTCCATCATCTTTTGTTGCTTCCTGCATCATCATTCAATGTTTTGCCCATGTTGTTGTTGTTGTGTGAAGTGCCTTTGAGTCGGTTCTGACTCACAGCAACCCTGTATAGGGTTTTCAAGGAGCAGCTGGTGAGCTTGAACTGCCAACTTTGCGGTTCAAACTGACCTTGCAGTCCAGCACATTAACCCTCTGTACCACACCAGGATGCCTATAGAATCCTTCAATAGCACAAGTAGAGGTTTGAATTTTTTTTTCCAGTCCCTTCAGCTTGAGAAATGCTGAGTGGTTTTCTAACTCTAGGTCTTTGCAAATTTTGTTGTAGTATTTAACTTTGTCTTCTCAAGCTGCTCTTTGAAATTTTCCATTCAGTCTTTTTACCTTTCTTCCATTTGCTTTAGCAACTCTACACTATAGATTATGTTTCAGAATCGCTTCTGACATTCATTTTGGTTTTTACTTCTTTGCTGTCTTCTTAATGACCTTTTGCTTTCCTCCATATGTTCTTGATGTCATCCCACAGTGCTCTTGGTCTTCGGTCGTCAGTGTCTAATGCATCAAAGATGGGTTTGTTCAGGGTCATATTTTGGCTCTTGTGGACTTGATTTAATTTTCTTCAGTTTCAGCTTGAATTTGCATATGAACAATTGAGGGTCTATTTCACAGTCTGTCCTTGGCCTTGTTTTGGCTGATGATACGGAGCTTTTCCACTGTGTATTTCCACAGATGTTGTCAGTTTGATTTCTGTGTATTCCATCTGGTGAGCTTCATGTATACAGTCATCTTTTATGTTGTTTTAAAAAAGCAACGGTATTTATAATGAAGAAATCATTGGTCTTGCATCGTTTCTATCACCAAGCCCATGTTTTCTGACTACTGATCCTTCCTGTTTATTTTCAACCTTTGCATTCCAATCACCAGTAATTATCAATACATCTTGATTGCATGTTTGATCAATTTTAGACTGAAGAAGTTGGTAGAATTCTTTAATTTCATCATTGCTGGCTTTAGTGGTTGATGCGTAAATTTATATCATAGTGTTATTAACTTGTCTTCCTTATAGGCATTTGGATATTATCCTATCACAGACAGTGTTGGGCATCAAGACATATCTTGATGTGTTCTTTTTGATGATGAATGAGACATTATTCCTCTTCAGTTTGTCATTTCTGGCATAGTAAACCATGTGATTGTCAGATTAAAAATGGCCAATACCAGTCCATTTCAGCTCACTAATGCTTAGGATATCAATGTTTTTGCATTCCATTTCATTTTTGGCAGTTTCCAATTCTCCTAGATTCAGACTTGGTGAATTCCATGTTCTGATTTTTAATGGATGTTTACAACTGTTTCTCTTCATTCTCAGTTTTGCTCCATCAGCAACTGAAGGTCCCAAACCATTCACGTCATCACAGTCAACTCTACTTTGAGGAGGCAGCTCTTTCCCAGTCGCGTTTTGAGTGCCTTCCAACCTGAGGGGCTCATCTTCTGGCACTGTATTTGACAATATTATGGTGCTATCTGATAGTGTTCCACTGCTATTCATAAGGTTTTCAGTGATTAAATATTCGAAAGTAGGTTGTTTCTCCTTCTTCCTAGCCTGTCTTCATCTGGAAGCTCATTTGAAACCTGTCCACCATGGTTGCCCCTCCTGGTATTTAAAATACCGCCAAGGCATAACTTCCAGAAACACCGCAATAAGCAAACCACCATAGTACGACAAACTGACAGACAAGTGGGGGTCTTTTTGTTTATATATCAATTTAGTGGGTCTTTTATATAAGGAACCCTGGTGGTCCAGTGAGTTAAGCATGTCACTGCTAACCATAAGGTTGGTGGTTCAAACCCACCAGCCTCTTCACCTTGACCTATAGGTCACTATGAGATGAAATTGACTCCCCTCCAGTGGCTTTACTTCATTTTATTTTTGCTTATTACAATGGTTAGTATTATTTACGTGATTATCACCTTTTAGATCGACCTTGTTTTCTCTCTCCGTAACTTTAAATTTACTCTTTTTTTCAGCTATATGCATTTTATTTCATTTTGTGGGGTGTTGTTAGGAAACTTAATTTCTGTTTAACCAAAAGCTCCACTTAATTTTTAAGAAGTAAATCCTGATTTTGATCCCTCTGACAATTTCCACCTTTATTTGCACCAGAAGAATGAACTCGGTCGTGTTTTATATCATTGTATGTAGCTACAGTGTCTTTGCAAGGAACTGACGTAGCGTAGTGGTTACGAATTGGGCTGCTAACCTCAAGGTCAGCAGTTGGAAACTACCAGCTGTTCTGCAGGAGAAACATGAGGCTTTCTGCTCCCATAAAGATTGACAGCGTCGGAAACCTTATACAGGCTGCAAGTCGGAACTGACTCCACAGCACACTACCACCACAGTGTCTTTGCTCTCCATTAGGCTAGTGGGTTAGGCTTAGGCTTAGGCTTAGGGGAGCTGTTGTCTGAGAATGGGAATGCTGAGCTGCTTTTTGTGCTTGTGTCGCAGCAAAGGCGCCAGCAGAGGGAGCTGATGAAAGCGCTCCAGCAGCAGCAGCAGCAGCAGCAGCAGCAGCAACAGCAGAAACTGTCAGGCTGGGGCAATGTCAGCAAGCCTGCAGGCACCACCAAGTCCCTCCTGGAGATACAGCAGGAAGAGGCCAGGCAGATGCAGAAGCAGCAGCAGCAGCAGCAGCAGCAGCAGCAGCCGCAGCAGCCAAGTCGAGCCCGGAGTACCACGGTGGGTCCATCCTCCCAAACTGTCAGCCCGTGGGCTGTTTGTCTTTCAGTGTTTCCAGTGGTTTAACGGCATAAAATGGTATCTGTTTCTTTAACAGCATTCCAACCTGCATACCAGCATTGGGAATTCTGTTTGGGGATCTATAAATACAGGTCCCCCGACCCAGTGGGCATCAGACCTGGTCAGTAGTATCTGGAGTAATGCCGACACCAAAAATTCCAACATGGGATTCTGGGATGATGCTGTGAAAGAGGTGGGACCTAGGAATTCAACCAATAAAAATAAAAACAACACCAGTCTCAGGTAGGCTCAGTGTGATCAAGCCACTGCTCCTTGCTGTGTGGGGTTTTTGGTTTGGGGGCAGGAAGTTCTTTAGTTTATGTTTGTCCAAGCCCAGGAAGCCAGAGTTGGGGCGGGTACTTTCTTCACTGTAGAAATACACACGTGTTACTTCTTGGGGCTCCTCTGAGAATGTTTCTGCTGCTGAGTGCTTAGTTCATGGCCTCGCACAAGGTACTCCCTAAATCATAGGGGTCGGGTACTCTTTCTGTTGTCAAACATTTCTCTAACGTAGTCTCTAGGTCTTGGCATGCTTTCTGAATTTATATGCTATTTATACTATAATACTATAACGAATGTTATACGAGGGGCTTCAGAAAGTTTGTGGAAAACTTCAAGATGACTCCAGTCTATTTTTCCATGAGCTTTGGGAAGCCCCTCATGAGCTCTGCTGTGCTGCCCTGACGTGGATCGACTCCGGCAGTGAAGTAGTAACTGGTGTGCACCTTCACCTTCCTCTCCTCTGTGTGCAGTGTGGTTGGTATCAACTACAGGAGTGCAAGCCCCAGCACTCCCACTGTAGCTGTGTGACCTTGGGCAGGACGGAACCTCTCTGAGCCTCAGTTCCCTCATCTGTAAAATGAAGACATTCATGAGAACGTACGGGCATGTGACTGTACCAATTACAGGGAATGCATGTGAAGTGCCTGGCACATAGGAACTGCTTAATAAATGGTAGGGTAGTTGTTAGATCACTTTTTCTAAAGTGAGGGCCACAGTGTCTGCCAGCTTATTGAACATTTCTGCCAGGCACTCTTGGTCTTTAATAACCTCCAGGGACACTACTGCCATTTTACAAATGTGGAAACTGAGGCTTAGCCAAAGTTAAGCAACTTACTTAAGGGTACCTAGGAAGAGCATGATAATTTCTTTTACATAGAAATGTGATGATCACAAGCTAGAAGGTTTTAACCTACTGATAGATTTTTAAGGGGAGGTTGAGTCTGACTTCCCCTGTCCCAAATCCAAATACTCAATTTTTTTTTAATTCTTATTTTTGGAGCCAAGCATTCATTGGATTACTGGACAGTCATCCGGTGTTGCAAAGATACTCTCTATTTATGGTGTTGTAGTATAATTATTATAGTAACAGATTCTGGGAATATAATATCGCCCTATTGTTTTGCTTCAGTAAATCTGTAGGTGTGTCTAACCGGCAGAATAAGAAAGTAGAAGAAGAAGAAAAGTTGCTGAAGCTCTTTCAGGGAGTAAATAAAGCCCAGGATGGATTTACCCAGTGGTGTGAACAGATGCTTCATGCCCTTAATACGGCAAATAACTTGGATGGTAAGACTTGGGGAGGGACCCCAGCATGTGGAATGGCGAGGCAGGCCTCCAGAGAGGCTGGCTGGTTGGAGCAATGAGCCTGCCCTCACAAGGTGAAATCTGCCAAGGTCAAGTCCCACCCCTACTGTGAGCTTTAGTAGTATTCCTGTAAGAAGAGTCCTGGGATGCTAAGCTCAACTAGGTTCTCGATGGTCGCCATCTCAAGCAGCTTTAACAACATACAGGACAAAGGAGGCCATAGCACACCCTCCTCGTTGTGTGAGGGACAGCGTCAGTGCCGGCTAGAGTAAGTCATGGTGGGGAAAAGTCAGCCTGAAAGAGGAGGGTCAGATGATAGGACAGTGTCTCCGTCCTCCCTGGGTTGTGGGTGGGCAGCTCAGGCAACAGAGTAATTAGACTGACTTTGTATAGGATAAAACTGTGGTCAGTACGTGATCATGAAAAGGGTTTAGCACACCTGGCAGACCAGACAGACTTGCTCGCTGCTCACAGTCCTCTCTGCCTTCCACGGGAGTGAGCCCCACCCTCTGTCCAAGAGTCTGTACAGAAACCGGTTGGGCACGTTATAGATGAAGAGGACAAGTCTGCCTCTGGTATCTTCGCTCTGGGATGAAACCAGTCACCATCGAGTTGGCTCCGACTCATGGCAGCATCTTGATGTGAGAATGGAACTCTGGTCCACAGGGTTTTCAAGGACTGATTTTTTTTGACATTCGAATGCTGGGTTTGTCTTCTGAGGCACCTTGGTAGACTTGAACCACCCGTCTTTCAGTTAGCAGCCAAGCATGGTAACAGTTGGCTGCACCACTCAGGGACTCCTGCCTAAAATTAAGGCTCCATTAAAATCAGAGCCCTGCAGGGGCTGAAAGGTTCTTCTGCAGCATTGGAGTGGACACCTGATGGTCTAGAAGTCTAAGAGAAAACATTAGTCCTAACAGCAGCAACTGCCATACATTAAGTAAGCACCGACCATGGGCTTGGCACTTTCTGGAGGTTAATGTTTGTTAACCTTGTTTATTTTTGCAGTGATTTTATAAGGTACCTTTACAATATAGGTGATGTTCTCTCCATTTTATAAACTAGGAAACGGAGGCTCAGAATGGTTTAGTATAACTCATCCAGGTCACACAGCCAGTAAAATTTCAGAGTCAGGTGTTCATCCCATGTCTGTCTTATCTCTTACACTTGGACTTTGCTTCTGTGCCACACTGCTTGTGTGTTCCATCTGATTTCTCTTAAATGGCTCTGGGTGAATTCAAAGCTTCAAGAGGAGATGGCTGTATCTTTAGTCTCTGTTGTGGTGTCTAGCACACATTGCAGCACAGAATACATGTTAATTGCATTCGATAAAAGAAAGCTTGAACCCCTAAATCAGCTTTAGGCAAGCACTGGTTTTAATCAGCCATAACAGTGAGTGAAGTTAGACCTGTGCTACATCTTGTGCTGTTTTCAAATAATGTTGACATTGCAGTGGTAGTGGGGGTTTCTGTCTCTAGAGTAAGGATCACTTAGAATACAGTATGTGAGCATACTGGTCATGTGTACACCATTAACTTGGGTATTAGGTGTGAGTAGCCATGAAAACCGACGCTGGTGGTATTATTATGTGGCACACCACTATTTCACGGTTACTCTTGGTGTCTTCTCCCCCACCCCTCTTGCAGTTCCTACATTTGTTTCTTTCCTGAAAGAAGTAGAATCTCCTTACGAAGTCCATGATTATATCAGGGCCTACTTAGGAGACACCTCAGAGGCCAAGGAGTTTGCCAAGCAGTTCCTCGAGCGTCGTGCCAAACAGAAAGCTAACCAACAGCGTCAGCAGCAGCAGCCACCGCCGCCGCCGCCGCAGGTATGAGGGTGAGGTGTGAGGGCGCCACCTCCAGGAGTGAGGGAGTCTCAGTACTTGTCAATGCCACGGGACCAGAGATGTGCAAACTAAGACAGAGGTGCCCCTTGTGTGCATAGAAAATACAGCCATTCATTCTGTAGTGGGCATGGCAGTGTCCGCTTTCTAAAGTCCTGTTGTTGTTGTTGTTGTTAAGTACCATGGAGTCAGTTCCAACTATATGTGCTTTAATCAGATCACCATCTCCACCCTTGGAGACCCACCCGTTAGCTCTGAATAGTTCTAACCACATGAGTGTGTGATCCCTGGCTCTAGTGCAGGAGACCTGCTGGCCCGGGGACTGGGTCCAACCTGGCGTATGTTGGTGAGGGAGCTATAACAATGTACACTTTTCCTGAAAAAGAAGTTGGCTAGGCTCTTGGAAATGCTAAAGAATATTCATAGCCTTGAGTTCCATTATTTCTGTTAGAAATAACCAGTCCTCGAAACATACTTCTATGGGTGTGTTACAACCACCAGGTTTTACATTGCTTATGTGGATGGCCGACAGGAAAGCTGTAAGCACTGTCGCAAGCATGAGGAAAGTGACCTTAAACGTCACGGGCACCGACTGTGTACAGCATACAGAAGGCACTGGTGCTTGAGGAGTGGCGCCCCCGTGTGGTGGGGCAGCAGGTGGAGGCTCAGCAGAGCCAGCTCTCCTCACTGCTTTCTCAGCTCCCTTGCCCTCTGCCCTCAGCCGTCAGCTCTCAGCTGGCTCATTGGAGTTGATTCCAGTTCCCAATGAGTTGCTTTCATAAGATCTGGTAAATATGCACGACTGGTGCACTAAGTTTCTTAGTGAAACTTTTTTTCTTCTCAGGTGGTAGCAAGTGTTCTGGGATGGTATTTGGGGGCCGGATCCCTTCAGCTATTGCCAGTAGGTGGGCAGTGTGTGATGTGAACCTTGTTTGACAACATGCTACCGGTGTTCTATAGCCCATCCTCCTCTCTCTCTCAGGGGCCAGGGGACAGAGGAGCTTTTGGTTTGGAGGAAGAGAGGTGTGTCAGTTGGCTGGGTGCAGAGATCCCTGTCACATCCCCATATGCACTAGAGGAGCCTAGACAGTTACCAGACAGGCCTTGGCAGCACTTACTGCTAGAGTGAAATATCAGAGATGAAGGAAAATGGTGGCTCAATGACCACTTTCTTGTCTTATTATTTCTAGAACATGCTAAGCTTTCTGTTTTTAAAGAAAACATCACTTGGTCATGTGAGGATAAAACAACTGTTTCTATTAGCACCGCTTCCTCACTTATCATTTCCCTTCTGCTGTCTTATCTCACAGGATTCTGTGTGGGGGATGAACCACAGTACACTCCATTCAGTATTTCAGACCAATCAAAGCAACAACCAACAATCCAACTTTGAAGCCGTACAGAGTGGCAAGAAGAAAAAAAAGCAGAAGATGGTCCGAGCAGATCCCAGTTTATTAGGTGAGCACAGGCCTGAAGTATCTCTAGGTGTTGGGCACACACAGGTGATCAAGGAGGGTATTGTATGTATGTGGGTCCCCGAGTTCCAGTCAGCTGCAAGTAAGGAGCTAGTTTGACTGGACACTTCCTGTCCAGTGGGAAGGAAGGAAGTCAGTGGAATACTGTGTGGAATGTGAGCTCTAAGGCATTCTTCTGGGTGAGTATGAATTTCCCTACAGGGCTTTTCAGTGTGGCTGGGCACTAATGTTAGTGGTGCTACAGTTTAAACTGTAGGAGCGAGTTGGCTGGAAACAGACTGTGACTCTCGTCAGATGTGCACAGAAGAGAGCTGGAACTTGATGCTCTCCATGCACCTGTCGTACGGCTCTCAGATAGCCCAGAGGCTTGGCCCTTTCCCTGGAGCCCACTGCTGCTGGGAGTGGAGCTGGGCTTCTGGAGCAGGCTTATCGGCCTAGTTTCTACAGACGGAGCAGCTGCATGGGGAGATTGACACTTGTGTTGGGGTTGCAGAGACAGGCAGGAGGGCTGACGGACGGTATTTAGGATCATATACAGCCTGGGTGGGTGTAGCTGCTGGGCTGCCCATGTTGCCTTAATGGGCCTCGCAACATTATTCTCAGAGAAAGATGAGATGAAAATGATTCTCAGCGTATGAATGCAAAATCCACAGGCTGTACTACAACCATGCTCTCTGAAAGAGGAACGGGCAGGTTGGCAGTTTGGGATGTTAGCAAGCTGCAGGAGACGTGGAGAGGCACAGGTGGCTTGTAGCAGGTGTGCTGCTGGGATAGAAGGGAGTTAGGTGGATTTCAGAAACGGGGCTCCAGCCAATTCGACAAGGTTTCTGGCTGCAGAGACAGGATGGATGGTGTTGCCATTGCTAAACTGATGAACCCTGGACAGTGAGCAGGCTCCTGGAGGAAGGACAGCAAGACCTAAAGCAGAGATGCCCTGGGAATCCCCACCACATGCAGTAGGTTCAGCTGTGTCTCATGTTGAAGAAAACAAGAGGGACAAAAATTTAGCATAGAAATCTGGTGAAATTCTGTTTCCTTCTTCTGCCTGCTTCAGGGTCATCACTGATTGAGGACAGGTGGAATTGTCAAATATGTCCTACAGTGGTGACTGGAATGGGTGTGTGTAGATGTCAAAGTCTCCTGTGTATTCTAGCACAGACAGCTCCCAGCCCCAGGAAGCTGTGGGAGAACCTGGCTTGTCTAGGGAGACTTCTCCAACAGTGAGTGAAGCTCTTCAGAGGTAAATTTTGTACCTGACACTGTCTCCCACCGCAGATCTAGGAGGAAGGGGACTTGGAAGCCTCTCCAAGGCCATAGTAGGAATAGAGTGTAAGGAATCCAGGTGTCTTCAGGTGGAAGAAAACGAAACCGGCTCAGTTCACAGAGACATAAAACTGCCATACAGACCAGGGAGGAAAACTGGATAGGTTGTGGTTATGTGGACCCTTTTATGAAGATTTCTGTGTAGCTAAACTGCCCTCTGGAAGTTTCCCTGAGGATTGCTGCATTCTGCCCTTTACCTTCTTAGTTCTGTGTATGATTCGTTTTTGTTCGTGTGGACCATCAAGTTGGTTCCGACTCATTGCAACCTGTTCTGTTTTCTTCATAGGGTTTCCAAGAAGCAGCTGTTGCGTTTGAACCGCTGATCTTGTGGTTTGCGATCCAGTGCTTATCCTACAGTGCCACACCAAGACTCCTCTATCTGTTTTTAGAGGCACTGCAGGGTAATGCGCGGGACTGTAAGGTTGGCGATTCAAACCCACCAGCTGCTCCTTTGAAACCCTCTAAGGGTTGCTGTGAGTTGGAACCGACTCACAGCCTTTAACAACAGCAACAATAAAATATCTCTTAGTCACAAGTTTTCCCGTGGAAAGAAGATAGGTTCTAATTTAAAACACAAGGACCCATAGAAAAAAGTCCTTTGAACCCTTAGCTTCTAAAACTAGCCAGCAGAGGGAGCTCCAGCCTCATGGCCTCTCCTTCATGGCCTTTGTGAGCCCAGCTGCACTTCGTTCTGAGAACAGTGTTTGCACCCCTCCTGCACCTGGGAGAGGGAGTCTGCTCTTGGGGACTGTAGACTGTAGTCTCTCAAGTGGGAGCTTCCTCCTCCTCTGGCCTTAGGTTCTTGGCTGCTCAGAGCTTCCCCCCTGTCAGGTGGGGAGAAGCCAGGCCCAGCTGGTTGTTTCTCTAATGACAGTAAACGAGAGAACAGTTCTGTTGAGAGCCCAGCCCACTGGGCAATAGTGTTGCCCTCCACCCTTCATCTTTGCATAATCAAAATTAATCTCATTAGAGAAAAGTGTCTATAACAGTAATATGACTTCATTATTGTTTCTGTCACATTCATCTGCTATTCTGTGAGATATTCAAGGAGCCTTCAAAAAGTTTGTGGGAAACTATTTCACATTTTCATTTCATTTTTCTATGAACTTTTTGACGGTCTTCCCTCCCTCTCCCCCCCCCCCATTATATTTAACTAAGCTGTTAATTACAAAAAATATGAACACTAAGCCTTTTAGTGTTTTCAAAGGAAAAAAGTCTAGTGGGTCATGGGAACACCATGGAAGGAGTAGAACTCGGGGCAGGATTTGGAATCCCAGCCTCTCCATATAGTAAACCTTGAAGGCAGCCTCTCCCACAGCTCCCTTCGTGATAAATAGGAGTGCTTACTTTTTCAAATCATGGTATTTTTGAGTCGAGGATGCAGTGTAATTGACTCTTGGTTATGTAAGGCCTTTTATTTGTGGTTGTTGTTTAGTTTGGGTACATTTTAAATGTGTGTTTGTTTGACAACTTGAACAGTGAAAACCCAAAGGGAGGGTAGAGAAACCCAAGTAAAATGGACAGAGTGGTTTTAAGGCTGGCCAGCACCTCCTGCTTACTGTTTTGGTATTACAGCCACGGCTAAAAGCCTTTGAAATTGTATTCAGAGCCGAATAGCTCATTCAGAATGGCCTTTCTAATAGCACCGTTTCTCAATCTCGGAAAGAGCCCTGTTGGCGCAGTGGGGTAAGCGTTTGAATGTTAACCACAGGGTCAGCAGTTCAAACTCACCAGCCACTCAGAGGGAGAAAGATGAGGCTGAAGCTCCTGTAAGGCAGCTATGGATTGGAATTGCCTTCCTGGCAGTGGATTTTACCAAATCTCTGTTTATGGATGGAGAGTTTTAAAAAGCCGCACGCCTGGGCCTGCTGGCAGTGGAAGTTCCGAGACCAGCAGGACTGTGAGCAGTGCTTTTGTGCAGCTCGTTGTCCGTTTTCCAGAGACTAGTTTGGCGGCTCCTAGGTATTGCTGCTGATACGAGTTGAAGCGTTTCCATCTTACTGCTCACTCTTCTGTGAGGTAGGAGTCTGGGTTGCTAGGGTCTCCTCGTGCATCTTCCCTGAATCATCCTGCCTGAACATTCCCAGGGGCTGGGGGAAGTAAGTCTGGGCTGAAAGGAGTATTGACCGTGAGTGGCTTTCACGCATACCACACTCTGCAGACGTTGCTCAGCCTTCCCTCGGGCTTCTTCTTCTTAGTGGCTGCAGGTCAGTTCCGACTTAGAGCTGCCCTGTGTAGGGATTCTGAGGCTGTATTTCTTTATGGGAGCAGAAAGCCCCATCTTTCTCCTCTAGAGCGGCTGGTGGACTTGAACTGCTGACCACATGGTTAGCAGTCCAGTGCTTATCCCACAGCACTCCCACTTCTTTTGGTGGTGGCGTGCAGTTCTCCTGAAGCAGCTATGATGGGTTTGTTTGTTCTCTTTTCCGGTTATGCCAGAACCCTGAGAGAGATACCAGGTGAAAACCCAAACCTCTCTCTCTCTCTCTCTGACTCTCTCTCTCTCTCTCTCTCTCTGACTCTCTCTCTCTGACTCTCTCTCTCTGACTCTCTCTCTCTCTGACTCTCTCTCTCTCATCCCTGTGGTATATTCTAAGCAAGAAACAGGATGTTTCAAGAATTTGGTGGGAAAATCCCATGATCTTTTAACCCCATTTTCCCGGCACTGTTTGAAAGTCCCCACCCCCTGTAGACCCAAGCCACACTGACTGGCATCTGCGGTGTCCCTCACAGCTGGTCTCCCCTGCAGGTTTTTCAGTAAACGCGTCATCGGAGCGACTCAACATGGGCGAAATCGAGACTGTGGATGACTACTGAGCACGTGCCGTGGCCTGGCCTTCCTCTCTTGTCTGCTATCCTGGACCCTGCCTCTGGACCCTGCTCTCGCATCAGCCCCTCCCATTCTCTGCAGCCGACCACAGAGCCCCTCACCTTGCCTTGTAGCCTTTTTGGTCCAAGATTCCTGAAACCGTCTTTGTTGGTGAACATCTCCGACTGTCTCATCTTGGGGGTGGCAGTTGGGAGGCCCCCCAACAAGGCTGGTTTTGGGCAGCACGTGTTTCCTGTGCCGTGATTTCCATCAACTGTCCCCCAGAGAGAGTTGGGATCTGCCACGTCCTTCTCTTGTCACTTTCTTCCTCCTCATCCCCTCCAGGGCAAGGGGGTCTCTCTGGTGCAATCGTGAAGAGAGTTCATGCTCAACAGACCTTGCTTGGTTGACAGCACCAAGGAAGCCGGTGGACTGTGGTGACGGTGTCCGCCAAGGCGGGCAAAGCTTGCCCCGTCCACCCGGTGTTGCCATAGCTAACTTTGGGATTGCATCCACGAGTCCCCCCCAGTGGGTGGAGTTTAGCTTGGATGGTTTGAGGACCCCTTTGCCTGTTCTTTCTGAGGATCCTTTCAGAGAAAGGATTCGTGTTTTTCTTCATTAGATAGCGGCTTCCAAGCGGGTGGTCTCTTCCCTAGTGTACTCCCACCTGCTTGGACGAAGGAGACCCTGTGGCCTGGGAGAGAGACTTATTCTTAATTTTTCTTTCTTACAAAAAACTGATTTTTTTCCATAAATATTTTTACTTCAGAGGACTAGGACCAGTTTGTTTGGGCCCTTCTGCTGAAAATTTGTCTCGTTTAAGAGGCAGCTAGAATCTTTACCATATGTATGAATTTGTATAATTTCATTTTGGATAGGGATAAACTTTTCCTCTGATAAAAGCTCAGAATGTTGTCTGGTTCCTCAGAGCACTGTGTGTGTGTCTTACTGTGGTTCCTAAAAAGGTTTTGTCAAGAGATTTATGGAATAGCAAGTTGTCTTTTTTGCAAAAAGAACGTGCACAACTTGCCTGTAGAAACCACTATGAGGATGAGGCTGTGAGGGGAGGCGGAGGGGGGAAGGGAGGCGACGGCAGAGGAGACGCTCACTCGCTCTGGCTTCTTCTGGTGGCCTCCTCGCACCCCTTTGCTTCAGGTAGAAACATGGTCCAGCAGATGCTCCTCCTGTCTCCACCAGCCCCTCAAAGACCAGCTCCGGGATTGCCAATCCCACTGGGGGCTGGAGCCGTCGGACAACTGTCCCGGGGTCAGATGGCTCCGTGCGCAGCACCTTTTCCTCCTGTTCTCAGCACCCACGGGGGCTGAGAGTTGCTCTGAGAGCAGTTTGGTTTGGGATGATTTTATTTGGTTTCTGTTTTTCTCATTTGGATCACCATTCTATCCCTTCTTGCCTCCCTCCTGTCCCAAACATGTACAATAACTCTACAGAGACTGCTACCGTGTGTATATAGTTTTTGGATCGAATAGCATGAGGAGACAGGGCACCATTACAAATTGGAACACCTGGCTCTCCTTTGCTTTGTAAATTCAAAACTGGGGAGGGGGTGGGAAAGAGGGATAGTTAAAATGTTTACAAAACTTTACGCTTCCTCGGAACTTTTGCCAGCGTGGAGGAAAAATAAAGAACTTCAATAAAACCTGGTTGTCCTCTGTCTGTGTGAACCTCCTGTACTTGCCTTGGTGGAGACAAGTTTGGCATTAAATGGTCCCTCCCTGCTGTGGGAAAGCTCCAAGCAAACGCGTGCCCGGGACCTGGAGATGGCAGCTGGCATGGCCTGCGAACACTGGCCGGCTCTGTCCTAGAGACCAGAGAGGTCAAGGTAAACACCGGTGGTGAGCTTGACCAGATGTCTGTCTTTCTCTGACAGTGTCAGAAGTGCCCCTTCCTGCTCACCTGTGGGGCATCTCCTGCCCTCCCACCCACAGACACTCCCCCTCGGCTCCTGCCCCTCCAGAACCTGCTTCCACCTTCTAAACTAGACTGTTTACTCAGGGGGAAAAAAAAACTCAGGTGTGGAGTGGCCACATTAGGGGAGATCACAGTCATTTCAGTCATGGAACATTCTATGTGCTTGACCAGGAGACTTTGCTTCTCCTTGTGGAATTTCCCACTTGGCCCTAGGAGTGATGGTTTGTGTCTCCCTTGATTCTGCTCGCTCTCCCATTCTCTGCTCATTCATTCACTGACTCGGGGCCACTGCTTGCTTATCTGTTTTGAGAAGCTCATTTCCAAATTCCCTTAGCTATACCTCAGTTTTGGAATATTTGTTTTGTACACAGTTTCCAGTTACTTTCATGAAGAGAAACAACTTAGCAGACAGTTTGCAGGCGTGCGCTCTCCACAAGGGAGGTGGTGCTGAGCTGGCCTCTCCTTCCCAGTAGTCTCGGGGGTCACACTTGCTGTGTGACTGTGGACTTCCTCAGGAGTCACCACTGTCCCACATTGGTAGAGCACTTTACTGTCTCGGCAGTCACAAGTCACTCACCCGCTGAGTCGTCTCCATGGGCTGAGCATGGGGACCACTTGTGGAAAATCTGCATCAAGAGCGCCTGCATCTGCCTAGGGGCACTAGAGCACCCTCATGGGCTCCCAGTTGAGCAAGTCCGTTTTTTAAATTTCTGGATAGATCACGGTACTTCGGGCTTCAGTTTAAATAATTGTGTTTTTTTAGGGCAACCAGTATAATTTTATTTTAAACACAGTTATCTTAAAATGTATTTGACCTGGTGAAGAAACCCAACTTATATAAAGTATCCCTCTCCTGGGTCTAGGAAGTTCTCAGCACAGGGATGGTTTCTGCTCTGACACTGAGGCAAGACAAGGGGGCGTGGCCTGGAGCTGTCACATGGCTGCAGTGGCTCCTGGGCCCTGAGCTTCCCTGCAGGGTGGGGTGTGTCTAGGCAGTTATTGGCAGAATTTGTAAATGGCAACTGGGCAGAGCAGGACAGAGGCCAGGCCCAAGTCATGGCGGCAGACTTCCAGAGCTAGGCCTGCCTGCAGGAAGGACTGAGAGGCTGTTTGACTGAACTTGTGTCTTAGTTAATCTCATTACTTCTAACTTGATCCAACTGCACATTGTAGCCGGTCACTTCCTTGATGTGTGACCGTTAACAGTGGCATTTCAAAGAAGCAGTGAGAGGGCATGATGGGTGTCAGATTGGGACAAGGGTTGAAAAGTGGAGGTAGGAAATCAGCTTCGGTTGATGGGCGTTATCCATCCTCTGCAGGAAGTTAGAGGACTTAAGATGCTCCCATTTTACAGAGGGGGATGCTGCTCAAGGGCGGAGGCTTCCAGCCCAGAACTGACCTTTCCAAACACTGCCCAGGGCATCTCTCAGTGCCAACACAACTCCCCGGCTGCCTCCTCCAGCAACTGAAGCAACCCAAGCTGGACCTCGGCCAGCATCCAGAGCAGGGATCTTTCAGATCTAAGGAACCAACCCATCAGTCATGGGGTCAACTTCCAAGTGGGGAGCCCACTGCTTGTGCTTCCTGAAGTTCTCCCCACAGAGAAGTGTGTCTGTGTCACAGGGCCACTAAAGAAGGACAGGGCGGGGTGGTATCGGAAAGGTTTAATGGCCACAGGGCCGATACTTAACTTCCATTAGTTGTAAGGAAGGCTGGAAAGTTGGAATTTAAGTTGTAGTACTTCACCACGCCAAATGCCATCGGGATTTGGAGAAACAATATTGTAGTTAACAGTCATGTTATGAAATCAGGAACTATTTCTGTTTGGGATGACTGAGCTTGCTCCCTCGGCCACAGAGAAGGGATTCTAGCAGCCACCCCAGCTTCACGAGAACTTCAGTCTTTTCCAGGAAGGAACAGAGAACAAGCTCTGGTTTGGGGCCCAGGAACAGTTTCCAGTGGCCCAACCTTGCTGGGTCTAGTATCACTCGTGTCTGCACGGTCTGTTATTTTTATAGTGTGAATCTGGTACCATGCTATCAGGTTTGAATGTTGGTTTCATCACTTATTTTGGGCAAGTTTCTGTATTTCTGCCTCCCCATTGGTGACTTCATACGGTAAGCTCTGGACTGTGAACCACAAGGTCCGCAGTTGGAGCCTGCCAGTCACTCTGCGGGAGAAAGATGAGGCTTTCTGCTCCCATAAAGATTTAAATACAGCCTTAGAAATACAGGGTCGCTATGAATCGGAACCGACTTGATGGCACTTGACAATAACAACCACCTGTGAAGTAGGAATCATCAGGTAACGTAAAGTGTATTTAAAAGACATACTACATGCCCAGCACGTAAGTACTTGATATTTACTACTTGTAGGCTGTTTTACGAGTGAAAAGGGATTTTGTGGGCTCACATGGATGTAGTGTTGTTACAGGATACCATCAGGTTGCTTCCAACTCAGTAACCCTGTGCCTCTCAGAACAAGACTGTCCTTGGTTCAACCCCAGCCTCACAGTCTTTACTCCTGAGCCCATGGGTGCTGCCATTGCCGATCGGTTTTGTTGTGGGACTTGCCCTTCTTCATTAGCTCTCCAGTTTGCCCTCTTTAGTGACTGGTCCCTCCGGACAACATGCCCAAAGAACAGGAGATGGACGTCTTGCTGTCCTGGCTTCTAAGAAGAATTCTGACCATATTTCTTCCAAGAAAGATTTGTTTTTCTGACATAGATGCCTCTTGTATGTGGTTTCTGAGGAGCAGCTGGTGGATTTGAACTATTGACCTTGTGGTTAGCAGTCCAGTGCAGATCCTACATTGCCACACTAGGATGCAGTGATGTTGTTGTTGTTGTTAAGTGCCATCGAGTCGGGTCCGACCCATAGCGACCCTGTACAGGGTTTCCGAGGGTGTAAATCTTTACGGGAGTAGAAAGCCTCATCTTTCTCCCGCGGAGCAGCTGGTAGTTTCGAACCGCTGACCTTAAGGTTCGCAGCCCGGATCTTCTGGGTGGACTCAAACCTCCAACCTTTGGTTAGTAGCTAAGAGCACGTTAACCACTTGCACCGCCCAGGTACTCCAACCT